AAGATGACTGGGGATGTCTTACTCCCCCCACTGTTGATGGCCTATAGAACAGCAGAGCATGAAGCCACTGGATACACTCCAGCAAAGTTGATGTTTGGTCGGGAACTTCGGTTTTCAGTGGATCTGATAACAGGACGCCCACCTTAAGAAAAGGTGCCTTAAAATGTGTCAGAGTTCGTGAAAGTGTTATCTGAAGGATGGATGATATTCACCATCAAGTGCGTTCAAACTTGAAAACATCTGCTAATTCGATGAAGTTATGTTATGATATGAGATCTACTGAAGTCAGCTTTGTACCAGGAGACAAGGTGTGGTTTTATAATCCCAGAAAGACCAAAGGGAAGACTCCTAAGTTGTCATCTCCATGGGAAGACCCATATGACATAGTGGATCGTCTCTCAGACGTGACTTTCTGGATAAAAATGTGGTCGGCGAGGTAAGCCAAAAGTGGTGCATGCCAACAGGTTTTAGCATTATCACGGTCAAAGGACATTTCAGTTGGAATGAAGTGAACAATGGAATAAATGACACTGCTGAAGACGTGTCACCTGAAAAAGCCACTGCCGAAAAAGAAACTCTACCCGGTTTTGAGAAGGGAAACACTGAAGCCCTTGATGAAGTTACTACCACTGATGTGACTGCTACCGATAATGAATCCCACGTGAAGCAGAAGCCAGTGAGACAAATTAAGAAACTTTGCTGCATTTTAATTTTGTGTTTGTAAATTCTGTACATTTAATTAAGTTATTGTTAATTATCTGTTGGTTTAATGTAAGTGGCTATTGTTCGGGACGAACAATACTAAGGAAGGGGCAGTGTTACGATAGCGGAAGTCTTGTGATTCTGGAAGCATGCGTGTTGAATTTCTCGAATAATCGGAGAACTCCGCGTATGTTGGAGACCCTTCTTGCTTAGTATATAAGTTTGGCAGAGAAAAGCCAGGGGATGAGAAAGTGAACAGTAGTTACAGTGAGTTTCGGGTAATTTACGATTGAGTTTCGAGCTGGTGTGTGTGTGTTTTGCAGTCGTATAGAGCGAAGTTGTTGAGATTGTGAATCGCTGTGATTTATAGCATGTATTATAAAAATGCTCTATAGTTGTGTCTGTCGTCTGCTGACAACTGTCCAAGTATTTCCAGTGGTTGTCCCTTCTGACTTGTTGCCGAGTCATTGGAGGGACGTTTAGTAAATTAAACAATAAGATTCGTTTTTTGGAAGAGTTATGACTCTCTGTGATACTACCGAATCATTGGAGGGTCATTTATTAAATTATACAATAAATTTTGTTTTTTGGGAGAGTTATAACTATCTGTGATACTACCGAGTCATTGGAGGGACGTTTAGTAAATTAAACAATAAGTTTCGTTTTTTGGAAGAGTTATGACTCTCTATGATACTATTGAGTCATTGGAGGGTCATTTATTAAATTAAACAATAAGTGTTTGGGGGAGGGAGTTATGACTCTCTGTGATACTAAAGTTTTCAAAATAGTTACAGCAACTTTAACTTTAGGTATTTAGATGGTTTTTCTTACTTACGTGTATAGCTTCAGACACCTATTTTACAAGGATACATTTCATCATTTCTACTCTGTAACTTGTACCTTAGCTTGGACCTTGGGGTGATATACACAAAGGAAGTTCATAAAACAGTGGGGCATATGACAGAAGGGTGAAATTCGAGGTTTTTATGTTATAGCCTCTACAATACAATATTTTCTGGGATGGTATAAAATTCTCAGTTTACTTATTACTCTAGATGTTTACCTGGGACGCTACTTGACAGATAGTCCCATCTCGAATAGATGTCGCCTGACCAGTGGCCACTATATCGTCCAAGACCAGGAAAAGAAGCTCGAGAGAGGACGAAAGGTCTTTTACCGAGAATTTCTAGAGCTCTAAAAAGTAATAAATATCTGTGTTAAGAAGCCTGTTACTATGGGTCAGGCATAACTATGGAAATAATCTTTTGACACTGAATCTCAAACTTATAACCAAAACTATAAAATACAAATACCAGAAGTCAGTACTTAATTAATCACATATAACGCAAACCAATACATAACCACAAAATTTTATAGTTGGTACAGTAGTTAGTACCTAATGAACTACATATAATCCCAACCAATATATAAACACAGAATCTTATAGTTGGTACAGTAGTCACGACTTATTTAATTACATATAATCCCAACCAATATATAAACACAGAATCTTATAGTTGGTACAGTAGTCACGACTTATTTAATTACATATAATCCCAACCAATATATAAACACAGAATCTTATAGTTAGTACAGTAGTCACGACTTATTTAATTACATATAATCCCAACCAAAATATAACCACATCTTATAGTTGGTACAGTAGTCAGGACTTAATTAATTACACATAATCCCAACCAATACATAACCACAACATCTTATAGCTGGTAGAGTATGCAGTACCTAATGAACCACGTATAATCCCAAACTTAAACACAGAATCTTATAAGTAGTACAGACGCCAGTAGTCAGTATTTAATTAATTACATATAATCCCAACCAATACATAACCACAAGATCTAGTAGTGGTACAGAAACCAATTGTCAGTACTTAGTTAATCACATATAATCTCAACCAATATATAACCATAAAATCTTATTGTTGATACAGCCACCAGTAGTCAGAACTTAATTAATTACATATAATCACAACCAATACACAACCACAAGATCTGATAGCAGGTATAGCCACCAATAGTCATTACCTAATTTACCACTTATAATCCCAACCAATATATAACCACAAAATCTTATAGCTGGTACGGCCACCAGTAGTTAGTACTTAATTAACTACATATAATCCCAACCAATATATAACTACAAAATATTATAGCTGGTACAGCCACCAGTAGCCAGTACTTAATTAATTAAATATAATCCTAACCGATACACGATCATAAAATCTTATAGTTGGTACAGCCAACAGTAGTTAATACTTGATTAATTATTAAAGTAACAGCCAACATATCTGTGGCTAACGCCCACGTTTCCAGTCATTGTTTTTAACCCGGGTCTTCAGCCAACAGTAGTCAGTACTTAATTAAAGTAATAGTCAAAATATTTGTTGGTAACAGCCATATATCCATCTTTTTTAACCCCGGTCTCTTGAAACCACTTGATACTGTTATTATGCATGTTTTATTATTATTGTTGAATTTATCCAGTCGTTGTTTTCATCCTGGTCAGGAAACTACTTGATAATGTTACTATGCATGTTTTATTATTATTATTGTTGAATTTATCCAGCCATTGTTTTTAACCCTGGTTTGGAAACCATTTGATACTGTTATTATGCATGTATTATTATTATTCTTGAATTTATCCAGTCATTGTTTTTAACCCTGGTTTGGAAACCACTTGATACTGTTATTATGCATGTTTTATTATTATTGTTGAATTTATCCAGTCATTGTTTTTAACCCTGGTTTAGAAACCATTTGATACTGTTATTATGCATGTTTTATTATTATTGTTGAATTTCACTCACCTGTATGTAGTTTTGGCTTCTATTACACTGTAGATGTTGTGTAGATTGTAGTGAGACGACAGATACTGATGAGAGGACAAACATAAAGTGTGAGTCATAAGGGAGTCATTGCCGGGCTGGTAGGGTGGATTTTCTAGTGGATGCCCCATGGGACAGCTTTCCCATGAACCATTTATGAAATTATACGGTTCATTCATATCCTGAAAATTGAGAAATTGATTGGTCTTACTTCTTCAATTTCTAAAAAACATCAAGGTCAGCTTTTTCAAAGTTAAAATGTAAGATATCACATTTTTTTATTGACAAATTCTCGTATTATACGTGTATAAAAATTCTCTTTCACAAACATTTGCAAATCCTTTGAACATATCATATTATTCATCCAACATGTTTTACACGGAAATGTAATTAACATATGCAGAAAAACACTTGCCAGTTAGTTAGTTTAATGTTATAAAAGTGTGTTTAAAATGTTGCATTGTCGTGAGATAAATATATTACAGGGAAGTGCAATGTAGAACATTGAAAGTTGGGTAAACTGATCCGTGAAATAGTCCCAATACTGTAACTGCATCCAGAGTCTGACAAATTTTCACTTTTTTAAGATTGTAAGAAAGATGCCAGAAATACTTTTGGAACAAATTCAGATCATTTAACACTATCCAAGGTTGCCACACATAAGAGTCATCGTATTTGAGGTCTGTGCAGCGTGTTCTCAATAAGTATTGATACTTTGGAAATAATGAGATTGATATACCACACTTTATCCACAAGAATGATCTTTACTGTAAACCCACTAACGTTGACGACTAATCTGCTTATTATCCTGCTTTGATAATAATGGCAATTGTGAATCTGGAGGAAGACAACTAAACAGTTCGATCATTATTGTGTGAACCTGAAGGAAGACAGCTGAACAGTTCAACAACGATTGTGTGAACCCGAAGGAAGATGAACAGTTTGACCATGATTGTTTGAATCTGAAGGAAAACAGGGTGATAATTTGACCATAATTCTGGGTTCTGGAAGTAGACAGGCAAACAGTTTAACCATGATTGTTTTATGTCAAGGAAAAGGGATTGTAATTGTGTTGGCTAAATTCTACACAATGGACGTGGGATCGAGTTAATGAAGTGTCTACATGACTTAAGAGTCATAGATATCAAATGATGTAAAATAACACGTTCCAGGATCCATGGAGGGAAGTTGAATCTGTCTGTCTATCTGTTATTACAGCCATCTTACACAGAATACATTCAACTCATTTCTAGTTTTAAAAAAATCAATAGCCTGGAATGGCCTTTAATTATAAGGACCATATTTTGAGCTTGCTGGTTGTGTTAGTTCTCGCCATTATTAACTCGCCTAACTTTTGAAACAACCAGTTGAATAAGAAACCTGTCAAGAACAACTGAAAGTATGTCTCACAGAATGATAAAAGTTTAGTTCAAGGGCAATGCTGTAGCAGATTAGAAAAAAAGTCATTATTAGGACTCCTGTATTCACACTGAACATTAGGACCTCTAGATGACTAGATTATTTTGGGTAAAGCAGTATATATATATATATATATATATTGTAAACGACAGCGGAATTCACGTGACGCAGGTAACACGTGATGAGTGTCTAGAAGATTCGCGAAGAGGCTAGTACGTGCTATGCGCGTGCTTTGATTGTATATAAGCGCGCCAGATAAAGGAGATATTCATTCGGAATTGAGTTGCAGATAGAGAGATTGAAGATATAGAGATGGACAACTGAGTCAAGCGTGGTAGTGACCGCAAGAAAGTGCGTGAATCGTTGTGAATTATAGTGTGTGTTTAAGTTAAAGTGACTGTGGAAATTAAGTGTATTGCAAAGTTGAATTGACAAAGAATATACTAGTTTTATCTAAGAAAGGACTTGTATCGCTAAAGTTTCTTCGGAAATAATTTTTACGGAAAATTAACAAACGAACACAGAGGCGTAACAAATTGGTGTCAGAGAGTGGGACGAAAAAAAATGGAAACGAGAAGTGGCAAATCAAACTACAGCTTAGCAGATTTGATGGCAGCAATACAAGAACAGCAAAAGAAACAACAAAGAAGGAAAAAATAAACAAGAAGAGAGATTACAGCAGTTGTTGGAGGAAATATAAAATAAACAAGAAGAACGTGAACATAAACAAGAAGAAATATTACAGCAGTGACAAGAAAACCTGCAACAAAAGCAGCTCGAACAGCAAAATAAACAAGAAAGATTACAGCAGTTGTTGGGGGGAAAAGAAAAGAAACAAGAAGAGAGACTACAGCAGTGGTTGGAGGAGAAAAAAATGAACAAGAAGAAAGTCTCCAACAATTGAGAGAAAGCCAGAGTACACAAATGGAAAACATTAGTAAATTCCAAAGCCAATTAAATACATTAAGGAATGGTTTACACTCTTTACACAAGGATGATATATTAGCCATCGACCTAATGAGCCTCAGACAACGGGAAGACCCTTCCAGACCCCGCAGCTAAACCCTAATGCAGACATCTTCAGTCCTGTTAGAAGTCACATCCTAGATATGAATGTCAGCAATAGGGGTGATCTAGTACGAAGGAAGCCACAGGAATTCGATGGGAAGGCACTGCGGGAAGCATATAGAGCACAATTTGAGCTCCTGGCAGAAATGAATGGGTGAACAGAGGAGCACAAAGCAGTGTACCTGGCAACGAGCGTGAAGGACAACCACTGGAAATACTTGGACAATTGTCAGTAGACGACAGGCACAACTATAGAACACTGGTAGTTGCTCTAGAATGCAGGTACGGAACTCAAATTCAGTCCGAAGTCTACAGGGCTAGGTTTACGACGAGAGTCCGTGCTAAAGGGGAGAGCCTGCAAGAGCTGGCACAGGATTTGGAAAGTATGGCACACAAAGCCTACCCAACTGCGCCACCCGATGTCCTCAAGCTGTTGCTGAGGAATCAGTTTGAAGACACCTTGGACAGTCCACAACTGAAGATACAAGTGAAGCAAGTGTTAATTTCCCGTAAAACTTCTTTCCGAAGATCTTCAGCGATACAAGTCCTTTCTTAAATAAAACTAGTTTATACTTTCTCAATACAACTTTGCAATACATTTAATTTCCTTAGTCTTTTTAACTTGAATACACGCTATAATTCACAACGATTCACGCACTTTACTGACGGTCACTACCGCTCGCTTGACTCAATTATCTGTCTCTATATCTCTTTATCTGTAAGTATATCTCCGCTTTATTTATCTGGCTTATGTACAAAAAAGAGGGCGCCTAGAAAAGACTAGAGTTGCCAGGAAAAGTTAAGATCCTTCGAGAATCTCATGACGTGTTACCAGGTCATGTAACTTCCGCTGTCGTAACAATATCTTATAGTTCTATTTAATATCTTTTTTGTAAGGGTGGAGGTTGGGAGTTTAATTAGTAGAAATATTAGGGTGGTTTCATTTATACTTTAAGAAATTTAAGGGTAACTGCTTTCCCACAACTGGCTATTGACATTCAAAGGCAGTAGAAGCTGAGACGTTGTGGGTGTAAGCACTCAGTTTCGTACCCTTATTTGATTTTCGTACATTTATTTGATTTTCTATGATGGCTGACTAGTTTATCATCGGCGTTTGGATATTGTCTGATAGATGGGATCTCCCCAAACCACTTGGGTGCTATTACCTCAGACATTATCCATTATGACAGTAAATTGACAACCAGGACCGATAACGGTATTGCGATATTTAATTCATTATTGTTTTACAGTGCTGATTCAATTGCCTATTAACAATTAATGTAATCAATAGTTCGTAAGCTATCTATTTATTTATATAAATATATATATCCATTATTTGTAGTGGAAATTAGAGCCTCTAGATGACAGATTGCCTCAATTTGGCAGAACAGTGTATATATCTGTTACTGACAGAGACCTTTAAATGACTAAATGGTTGATTAATGCAATCAACAAGAGGAAGGTGTTGGAATTCACCATCACTGTGTTATTGAAATCGAAGCAAAGGGCATATTAGAAACGGAATTCATATGGAATCATGAATCTTATATGACTGTATACATCCGTCACTGATAGAGAACGTTGGGACCTTTAATTCTTATTGTTCTTACAGTAAAGACGTATAATGAATACATCTATTCTAACGAATCCAGGAAGTCAGGTGCTACAAGCCAAAGGTCATTCACCGTGATAATCTTTGGAAGCACATCGGTGGAAGAATGACCAAATAGTTAACCAGCTGGTGAGTCTAACATTCTACTCAAGATCACTTTCTGAGTAATATGGATCTACTCGAAGACTGCCTGGCCAAACCTACTGTCATATTATATATATATACATACATTTGGACTAATATTTACAAAGCAAGTCGAACCTAGTTTTATTTTAACAATATAAATATATTAGAGACTAATAGTTACTAAGCTGGTTAAACACTGTTATATTAACGATATATACATACACATTTGGACTAGTACTTGCTAAGCTGGTTAAACTTTGTAAGACATTGTTGGGATTATGGCTGAATCGCTAACAGCGAAAGTATCCAGTTGATGAGTTACTGTATTCTAATCAATGAAAGTTTTATTTTTGGTGGGGGGATTTGATTTATGATAAAAAATCAATTTTATTCATTTCTTTGGTACATTTTAATTCTGATCAGTACTTACAATCCATGCTGCATCGTATGGAACTTCTCGATGAAACGTTATCATGTTGTTGATCCAGAACTCCGAGGCTTTAGGATTGGAGAAGTCTAGGTAAGCAGTTATGTTGGGCCAAAGCTGGAATGTGAACAACGCTACATATACATATTACATTAAAACCACTTTGGTGTAGCGGTGAAATATATTTTCTCCAGATACAGGGTCACTTCTTATGGTGTTAACTATTAGTAAACAGAAAATTACGAGCATGAAAACACAGGGTCAATTTTCTTATGGTTAACTGTTAGTAAACAGAAGAATACGATCAGTATTTAAAATTGTAAAAGTTTTTAAACCTTACTATTCATACTGTTCCTTGCTTACAAACTCAGATCTCTAACTGAAATCCCACTAACGTGCATGTTAGATCTCTAACTGAAATCCTACTAACGTGCATGTTTGCACGGGATTAAGGAGTGCAACATTTATTTTCATAACTTAAAAACATACATATCTTGTGTTAAAATGTAAAAAGACTTACTTTTCCAAGAATAATTTTTTTATTTATATCTCTCATAAAAATGTCCTCTCCAAGAGCTTCGTCATAAGCTGGATATTCCCCTGTTGAGTTGGTCACGTAAAGTCCGGGGCTCTGCAACGCGTGATCAATTAAACTTGTGTTAAGTATAAAATATAAAATTCATGACTACTTTTGTAATGCAAACAATAGTGAGTATGACTTTGTGTGATAGTCGTACCAAACTATTCAATATAAATATGTCTTTGATTTACTAATAAATATTGTATAATAATGTTGACTATCTTTGATAGCTTATAGAATACCACATGGTGAGTATGATTCTGATTGCTTTCTGATAAAAATTGTTTAATAATGTTGACTACCTTTGATAGCCTATATAATACTGTTACAACAACGGAAGTTACGTGACGCTGCTGGCGCGTTTGGCGCTGGTAGCCAAATTTCTCGAATGATCATGAATGATCGGGGAGGCCCGAGTGTATTCGAGACACCCCCTTCTTTAGTATTAAAACCTGGCGAGAAAAGACAGCGGCTATGGAATGTGTGTTTAAAACGAACAGTAGTCACGGTAAGTTATCGAGATTGCGAATCGCTGTAATTTATAGCGTGTATTATAAAAGTCGTTAAGTTGAAAGTGACGAAAAAGGCACTGACAGAGGAATTACGGTGTACTAAAAGTTGTATTAAGAAAGAATAAACTAATTTATGCAAGAAAAAACTTGTATCGCAAAAGTTCCTCAGTTTTTGGAAAGAATTTCTACCGGGAATTAGCAAACAGGGAGATATGTAACAATACCACAAAATGAGCATGATTCTGATTGTTTCCTAATAAACATTGTTTAATAATGTTGACTATTTTGATAGTCTATAGAATACCACATAGTAAGCATGATTTTGATTGTTTCCTAATAAACAATGTTTAATGATGTTAACTGTGTTTGATAGGCTATATAATACCACGTAGTGAGCATGATCCTGATTGTTTCCTAATAAACGTTGTTTATTAATGTTGACTACCTTTGATAGCCTATAAAATACCACGTAGTGAGTATGATTCTGATTGTTTACTAATAAATATTGTTTAATGATGTTAATCGTGTTTGATAGTTCATATTATACCACGTAGTAAGCATGATTTTGATTGTTTACTAATAAACATTGTTTAATGATTTTAACTGTGTTTGATAGCCTATATAATACCACGAAGTGAATATGATTCTGATTGTTTCCTAATAAACATTGTTTAATGATGTTAACTGTGTTTGATAGCCTATAGAATATCGAGTAGTAAGCATGATTTTAATTATTTACTAATAAACAATTCTTGGTACAGAAATACTACTTGGTTGCTTGGTGTAAAATGTATGATTTTGTTTTAACATCATGAACACGCTACTTACAAAATTTAACACGTAATGCATTCCAGCTTTATGTACATCGTCGACTAGTTCTGGCAATCCTTTGTATCTCTCTTTGTCGTAGGTGAAATCCTTAAAATCCAACATGTAGTCTATATCACTCCACTGTGCGTCCTAGAAGAACAGAAATTGAAACCCTGATGTTCTGTGCACAAACCTCAGTTTTCTGTTGTTGTTGGTTTATGTAGAGATGATTCTTAAACTGTAACTAAGTTTCATGTTCTTTTCAGTTATTCTAAGTCTCAATTTTCATGTTTTTTACAGTGATTCTAACTCCTATGTTAATCGGGTAAGGTAATTTACCTTTATTCTCCAGTCAATGGTTCCTGTAAATCTTACGGAAGTTTGTAGAAAGTTTCTCACAATCTGTTTATAGTAGATATCTACAAGTGATCACAGTTTGGATGCTATTTAGCAACATTCAAAATTACCTGCTTTAAGTCCTAGCAATCTCAAACTGTTGTTGAATATGAAAGTTAACTGTAGTGTTGTGTACCTCGTTCTAAAAAAATAAGTCCACCAGTGGCACAGCGGTATGTCTGCGGACTTACAAGGCTAGAATCCGGGTTTCGATACCCGTGGTGGGCAGAGCACAGATAGCCCTTTGTGTAGCTTTGTGCTTAATTACAAACAAAATAAAAACCTTAATATTAAAACTAACTATAGTGTTGTGTACGTCCTTGTAAATTAATATTAATACTATAGTTTTGTTGACCTCGTTCTCAAGGAAAGTAAAATTAAAACTAATTGTAGTGTTGTGCACATCATTCTAAAGAAACTTATTAGGTATTTCAGAATATTTAACCTTTAAATATAGAAGTTATTAACTAAATAGGCCCGCATCTATTAATAAGACGAAATCTCTAGCTAGATTAAAAAACAGTTAGAAATAAAAATTTATCAGCAACATATGTTACCCCTTACATAGGGAATACCCGCTTCTCGGGTTCGATTCCATACTCTTCTTGTCTTTTCCGACGTCATGTACCCAAATCGACTCAAATGAAATCCTAATGCCCAGTAAGGAGGCAAGAAAGGTCGACCAATCAAATTAGTATACTGCTGAATAACCTCATCAGGAGTAGGTCCCAGAAAGAAGAAGAAATCAAAAATTCCCCCTATGACTCTGTACGTTAAGGCAGGAGCAGGTTGTACAGCGACATCTAGTAACAAAGAAATCAAATTAATAACATCTTAGACGGAAGATATTTTGCTGAAAAACGTAGTTTATTTTAAAACTTTATATTCAGTACTTAAATTAAGTATAATAAACTCACATCAATGTTAACTATTAATCTTAATGAACAGCAACAATTAGAGCGAATATAGCAAAATATATTCGAGGTAAAGTTTAAAACATGCGCCTTTGTTGTAAGTTTTGTTATAATGTGTGATTATAATATAACAAAACCAATCTGTATAGAAATAAGTAGTGCGGATTATAGTATAATAAAACCAACCGGTATAGAACTGAGTAGTCTGAATTATAATATAATAAAACCAACCGGTATAGATCTGAGTAGTTCGTAGTATAATATAATGAAACCAACCGGTATATAACTGACTAGTCGGGATTATATTATAATAAAACCAATCAGTATAGAACTGTTTAATATGTGAATATAAGATAAGAAAACCAACTCCTATAGAATTGTTTAATCTGTGCTTATAATATAATAAAACCAACCACTGGAGAACTGTTTAATCTGTGAATATAATTTAATAAAACCAACCAGTACAGAACTGAGTAGTCCGATTTATAACATAATTAAACCAACCAGTATAGAACTGAGTAGTACGGATTATAATATAATTAAACCAACTACTACAGAACAGTTTAATCTGTGATTATAATATAATAAAACCAACTGGTGTAGAACTGAGTAGTCCGGATTTTAATTTAATAAAACCAACCCGTAAAGAACTGTTTAAACTGTGATTATAATATGATAAAACCAACCGCTATTGAAATGTTTACTGTGATTACAATATAATAAAACCAACCTGTATAGAACTGAGTAGTCCGGATTATAATACAATAAACCAACCCGTATAGAACTGTTTAATCTGTGATTATAATATAATAAAACTAATCAGTATAGAACTGAGTAGTCCGGATTATAACACAATAAAACCAACCGTTATATAACTGTTTAAACTGTGATTATAATATAATAAAACCAACCTATATAGAACTGCTTAATCTGTGACTATAATATAATGAAAACAACCGGTATACAACTGGGTAGTCCGGATTATAACATAATAAAACCAACCCGTATAGAACTGTTTAAACTGTGATTATACTATGATAAAACCAACCTCTATTTAAATGTTTAAACTGTGATTACAATACAATAAAACCAACCCGTATAGAACTGTTTAATCTGTGATTATAATATAATAAAACCAATCAGTATAGAACTGAGTAATCTGGATTATAATATAATAAATCCAACCGGTATAGAAGTGAGTAGTACGTATTATAACATAATTAAACCAACCGCTATAGAACAGTTTAATATCTGATTATAATATAATAAAACCAACCAGTATAGAACTGAGTAGTCGGTATTTTAATATAATAAAACCAACCATTATAGAACTGAGTATTCTGGAGTATAATATAGTAAAACCAACCAGTATAAAACTGTTTATTCTGTGATTATAATAAAATAAAACCAACTGGTATAGAACTGAATAGTTCAGATTATAATATAATGAAACCAACCAGTATAGAACTGTTTAATCCGTGATTATAATATAATAAAACAAACTGGTATAGAATTGAGGTAGTTGGTATTATAATTTAAATAAAACCAACCGGTATAGAACTGAGTATTCCGGAGTATATTATAATAAAACCAACCAGTATGAAACTGTTTAATCTGTGATTATATTATAATAAATTCAATCTGTATATAAATGTTTAATCTGTGATTATAATATAATAAAAGCAACCGGTGTAGAACTGTTTAATCTGTGACTATGATAATAAAACCAACCAGTATAGAACTGTTTAATCCGTGATATAATATAATAAAACGAACCGGTATAGAACTGTTTAATCTGTCACTATAATATAATAAAACTAAACGGTTTAGAACTGTTTTATCTGTCACTATAATATAAAAAAAATCAACCGGTATAGAACTGTTTAATCTGTGATTTAATATAATAAAACCAACCGGTATAGAACTGTTTAATCTATGATTATAATATAATAAAACCAACCGCTAAATAACTATTAAATCTATGATTAAAATATAATAAAACCAATCGGTATCGAACTGTTTAATCTGTGATTATAATAAACCAACCGGTGTAGAACTGTTTAATCTGTGATTATAATAAAACCAACTGCTATAGAACTATTAAATCTATGATTATAATAAAACCAACCGGTTTAGAACTGTTTAATATGTTCTGTCACGTAATTATAAATAGTTTACTTGTATAGTGAGATATTCACACTCGTGTAGACGTTGAAATTGTCACAAAGGATATTCGGATAACCACACTAGTGTACACGCTGAAATTGTCGCTATGGATATTCGGATATCCACACTGGTGTACACGTTGAAATTGTCGCTATGGATATTCAGATATTCACATTAGTGTACACGTTGAAATTGTCGCAAAGGATATTCAGATATCCATACTGGTGTACACGTTGAAATTGTCGCTATAGATATTCAGATATCCACACTGGTGTACACGTTGAAATTGTCGCTATGGATATTCCGATATCCACATTAGTGTACACGTTGAAATTGTCGCAAAGGATATTCAGATATCCATACTGGTGTACACGTTGAAATTGTCGCTATAGATATTCAGATATCCACACTGGTGTACACGTTGAAATTGTCGCTATAGATATTCAGATATCTATTGTAAGTGGTCCTTAGATATTTATGGTATGTTACATTATCGTGCTTTGTCAAATCGTTTGAATTTCATTTATTTAGTGACATTGATGTTTGGCCATTGCAAGTGTGTATACAAATACACATTTTATCGAACGTGTCTCTTTCATTATTCACCTATACTCTAGAGTCTAGAATACTAATTGATGGGTCACTTTCTACTTATGTATACATACATCAATGTAAACGTTCTACTTCTTGGGTCACTTTGTACTTAAGTATATACACATTAATATAAACGTTTTAACTTCTGAGTCACTTTCAACTTGTGTTTATACATCAATATAAACGTTCTAGCTTCTGAGTCACTTTAACTTGTGTTTATGCATCAATATAAACGTTGTAGCTTCTGAGTCACTTTCAGCTTGTGTTTATACATTAATATAAACGCTTTAATTTATAGGTCACTTTCCACTGATGTTTATACATCAATATAAACGTTGTAGCTTCTGAGTCACTTTCAACTTGTTTTTATACATCCATATACGCGTTCCAGCTTTTGAGTCACTTTCAACTTATGTTTATACATCAATATAAACGTTCTAGTTTCTGACTCACTTTCAACTTTTGTTTATACATCAATATAAACGTTCTAGCTTCTGAGTCACTTTCAACTTGTGTTTGTACATTAATATAAGGGCTTTAATTTATAGGTCACTTTTAACTTGTGTTTATACATTAATATAAGCGCTTTAATTTATAGGTCACTTTCAACTTGTGTTTATACATTAATATAAGCGCTTTAATTTATAGGTCACTTTCAACTTATGTTTATGCATCAATATAAACGTTGTAGCTTCTGAGTCACTTTCAGCTTGTGTTTATACATCAATATAAACGTTCTAATTTACAGGTCACTTTCAAATTGTGTTTATACATTAATATAAACGCTTTAATTTATAGGTCACTTTCCACTGATGTTTATACATCAATATAAACGTTGTAGCTTCTGAGTCACTTTCAACTTGTTTTTATACATCCATATACGCGTTCCAGCTTTTGAGTCACTTTCAACTTATGTTTATACATCAATATAAACGTTCTAGTTTCTGACTCACTTTCAACTTTTGTTTATACATCAATATAAACGTTCTAGCTTCTGAGTCACTTTCAACTTGTGTTTGTACATTAATATAAGGGCTTTAATTTATAGGTCACTTTTA